TTGAAGCAACTGCCATGTGATTGGTTGATTAGATAATTGCATTAATGAGAAATTGAACAGGTGTTCCTAATAATCCTTTAGGTGAGTGTATGTGCTAAAGGAACAACAGCACCATACCTGTTCCCAGGACCCCGGTGACCTCAGCATAGAAGAGCCATGGAGCTCATTAACTCCTGCATCCTCCAGCATTTTCTGCTTCACTTCAGCTTAGGTAAACAGAACATCCATGGTGCACCACAGAAACATAACAATGACATTATGCTCATGTTTCTGGATTCTGCTTGTTCTTTAGAGGACCAAGCCAAGTACAGCTTGATGGCCTGAAACTCAAATCTCAGTAATGTTGTTGTTTTATCCTCACTTCACCCTTGGAAAACACTTTTCTGAAATGGATGGCTAGGACTTTGCCCATAACTCATAACAGCATGCCTTACGGAAATCAAGGAGGCTCAAGGTAACATTAGCCCAGCGTGCTACCCCGGCACCTTCAGGCAGCCAAAAGGTTGTGCTGGCTTTGGTCAGGAAGGAGCTGGGGTGAGAGTCCAGTTTCCTAACAGGAGAGATCCAATGCTGCAGTCCGGTGCAGTTTATGGCTGGGATTCCAGAAGTCAACTATGTTCAGAGAACATCAACAGGAACAGCTTTGGAAAGTCAATAGAGGGAAAAGATGGCCATTATTTTGGGGGCAAGACACTCTGAGGCAGACTCTGATCTTGGCAATCTGATCATCACCGTGGTGAGAACCACAGTGAGCTCAGCAAAGGCAACATGCTCCAACTGGAATCTGCCTGGAAGATTGAAGCAGTCGGCCATCTTAACAGCTCCTTCATTGAAGATCTGCTTGAAACCCTTGGCCCTTCCCCAGGATTGAGACAAAGTGGGTGAATCATACCAGCTCTGCTGGCCTGTATACTAGTCACATTCACTGTCTCCATTAGTAATGCCTGCTGTACAGGGTACCGGCAGCCCCTCACTTTTGGATTCTGCTTTAATATGTCTCACCTCACAATCAATCCCATCACAAGTGCTCCTCTATCAATCCCATCACGAGTGCTCCTCTATAAGCACCTTATAGAAGATATGGAAATGCCATTGCATTTCTCAGTTCTCTTATACCAGTGTTTCTCAAACCAGTCCTGGGGGACCATCAGACAGACCACATTTTTGCTTTGTCCCACTTCCTTGGGAGTTGGGCTAGAGCAAAAATGTGGACTATCTGGGGGTCCCAGAGGACTGGTTTGAGAAAAACTGTCTTAGACTATGATATTTATTAGCTTTAAGCATTTATTAGCATTAAATGCTAGGGCTGGATGTGCGATTACAGGGCCATGAGTATAATGTCACATGGTAATCTTTCACCATGCTTTCTGGAAAGTCATTGTGTAAATAGCAGTCTTTTTATATGGAGAAAATGATTTGCAATTAGAATGAGTAAAGAAAGTTTCCAGGCCAAATGCGCAGTGAGCACAGCACACATCTGTGGAGGGCTGGACTTTATTTCCCTAGACAGCGCGATAGTCATACTTTCCCCTGTCTGCCATACTGCATGCAAGGCAAGCGCAGCCACGTTTCACAGCCCAGAACATTCTGCCCACTGAATTCCCGTGTCCCACAGAGATAATGATTTGACAAATAGAGTTTAGAGAACAAGAGGAAGAGAGAGATCTTCTCTGTCAGGGCACTTAGCTCACTAGTAGAGAGACAAAATATCGAATATCACATGAAAAACATGGGCAGATTCGTGTAGTTTGCTGGAGCCCTGAGCCACATCAGGCTGATGCTGCACCCTTATGGTTTCAGTCCTGTCTGCAGTAGCAGGGGACACCACCCACACCCCACTAGTGTAGCTTTGTGATTAGTCCAGATTTTCCAGCAGTTCCTATGAAGTAGTTGCACAGAGAAGACCGATGGCCACATGGTGTGGTTTGCAGCAAATTAAACTACAATGGTGAAGCTAAATTTGAGCAGATGTGACCATGTGAATGGAGGAGATGGAACATTCCAGTACATCATTTATGTATTATATTTTCTTGATTGTCCTTGATTGTATTGCACAACAGCCAAAGTGAATTTGTCATATGTCAACAGTCAGTGATAAATTAATTATTCTGAATCTAATTCAAAGACCACAGGGAGCCCAAGCGTTGATGCATGGGGAGAGTGTCAGCAAAGACTCGGTGGGGGCACCAGCTCTGTTCACGACTCAACACACATCAGCTACCTCCTCACTGCTGTTGTAAGAAAGGTATCTAAGTGAAAGCAGGTTCAAAAAATTTTTTAAGTGTTTTGTAAAGCCTCTATGTTGTTAATAATAAAAAAGATGAGTGTATCTCAAACTTTACCTTAACCAGGCAAATTTGAAACCTAGCTAAACCAAACCCAGCTGAAAACCCAGTAAACGAGTTTTGGGTTGCATTTCAAGGAGGTGTATTGTCCAGCAGAGGTCAGGAAGCAATACTCAGTAGGAAGCGATCCATCACTGTGTGCACTACAAGAACCCAAAGTCTGCCTTCTCCACACATATCACCACATATCACAGAGAGCCCCAGCGGGCAGGTCACAGTGTAAAATTGAGACAGCACCCCCGAGTCATGTTAACTAGCCTTAAACATTATAATCATCACCCTTGCCCATAGAAATCAATGGTAAGTTGGGTGATGAATTGCCAAGACACGGCAGTTATTTAATGAATCAGAGCTCTGAAGGGTGAAAACAGCATCATATATGGGGGATCAAAAGCCTTATCCTGTTATAGTAAAGTTATAACTCCTTGAAGTGTAACATTTCTATGACAAAAGTTTACATCAAGCAGGGTGAGAGGTCCAGTCAGAGACACAAGGTAGCTGACAACCAATTGCATTGCACGCCTTACTTCCCATCTGCTGTTACAGGGGACGCCTTCTGGAGCATTTTGAGCAGCACATGAAAAAGCCATCTGGTAGGTAGAGACGGCTGAGCCATGTGCAAAAATACTTAGGAGCCGGTGAGAAGCGTGTAGGAGGCGAAGAGGGAGAGCGCTCAAGCACAGGAAACCACATCACCGCTTACATTGCCACAGAGAATTCCTGATCATCCCTGCCAGCAAACGGCCGACAGTCTAAAGAAAAACAGATCCACAGCTAACTTTCAGGAAGTCCGCATGTAATGTGTTGATTATATTTTGTGCAAGAAATCTTTGAAAAGTTATCCATTCATTTAAGACTAAGGAAGAGATCACTTGGTAGTCATTTGATAGTAACCTGATGAACAAATTACTTGGTACTAATTTGAGAGTAAACTGATGAAAAGATCACTTGATACTCATTTGAAAATGACCCCCCCTAACATCATACTAGCTAGAGGCTAGTAAAAGTAAAAGGAACAGGAGCAATACAAAAGCTGAGTGTTCTTTCCTGGTATCAGTGTTGGGGCTTGTTTAAACAAGGGAGCACAGGAGAAATATACCTAACATCATTTCAAGGTCCAAACGGATTCTACAGTGCCATCCTTAGAGGACCAGGCCCCTCGGTTAGAACTAAATAAAATGGTAAACTGCTTTGAAAGAGTGTCTGTGTGTTTCACACAGCAAATGCAGTTTATAGCAGCACAGAAACACACTGCTCAGACTCACAGCAAGGCAGCATCACACTTTCTAATGCTGTGTGAGCTCTGACCTTGTTTGTAGCAATATTTTGGCAGTGGTTTCCATGGATAAATAGGTTTTAGTAATTACTTCCATTCTCAAGAAAAACCCAAAGGCAAAGTCAGGGCTTATTTAGCTAAGGAAGGCCAGCAGAATATCCAGTTTCATGTGTCTCGTACAGCTTATAATTAACTTTATAATGATAACCCTGCATTTGTTTAAAAGTTAAGCTGTGTGTGTGTATCTCCCAGCTGGCCTGTCCAATGATAGGTTTCCCACTGTAAGGTTCAGTGTGGCACACAGGAACACAGGGGCCCTTTTACTCAAACTCATACCTCTGTTCTCCTGGGTTCATATGGAGTAGCACAACAAATATGGAGGTGAAGCGCTGCAGAACCAAGATTAAGAGCTGAGATCCAGAACCGAAATCCAACTCCAACCAAGATGCAAAGTCTGACAGCACTGTCTGCTGTTGTGATAATACCTGGCTAACTTGCAGATCTGAGGCATTTCCCTGTATCTGTCTATGCATTCACCTCTGTCTATGCATTCAGTCCTGCACAGAAACAGGATGGCTGCCAAAATGTCCTACAGTCTACATTATTAAAGCCAGCTGGCCCCAGTCCTCAGTTGCCTTGTACTGAATTGTCCAGTATTAAACTTCATGGTAAATTCCTCTGAATTCATGTTCTACACAGAATACAGTAAGTCTGTTGAACCTGAGGTATTTGTAACGAGTGGGACTTTAGGACCCAGGAGTGAGTGAGGAGAGTATATTTAACGGTAATTCCAGTCGGTCAAAGTCGTTTCAATTCAGCTGCAAGCAGGGGCAGTCGGAAGGAGTGAAGCCGCGGCAGGTTTGAATCGTTCAGTACTGCGTTGGAATTATTGTGATCTTATGTGATCTTCGCAGAAAGGTTTTGATAGTGGGTGCACAGTAATATCTGCCCGTTGCGGCAGTTGGGGGGAGGGGGGGATCCTATCTTCAGCCTGCATGGTGGCCACAGGTACTTTGCATGTTGAATTATTTGTGCTGCGGTACAATGTAAGATGTGTACAGTTACAGGGAAGGAGAGATATCGTTGGTCAAAACCGTATCGAGGCTGGGGCTATTGCGTCAAGGCCATTGGAAAACTAGTGCCCTCCGGTTTTGGGAGCCAGGTGCTGGGAGGGGGCCATATAGGCTCACTGCAAAAGTTACCGTTACCATCTGTGTTGTGTTCTATGTTGATTGGCTAATGTCCGGTAGTGGAGGCACGTAGTGGTTCCATCTCTTCTGGACACTGAGTCAATGGTGACGACTATGACAGAGACATTTTTTAAGAGACACTTTCAGTCCCAGCTTCAGGGTCAGATACAGCCGTGTAGTTGGTTGCAGTTGAAGGCTGCTAATGGATTAGACATCCCCTATATGGGTTATGTGGAACTGGACGTGGATGTTATGGGCAAGGTGCTGCCTCAGAGAGGAGTGTTAGTAGTGAAAGATCCAATTGATGTAGGAGCTAGACAGCGTAAAGAGTCTGTGCCGGGGCTTTTAGGCATGAATGTCCTGAGTGGTTGCTATGAGGAGCTTTTCCAAGCGCATGGGGCCACATTGTGTCACTCTCCGTCTGTTCAGATGGCAGGTAAAGTATGGCAGCAGGTGCTGGCAGATTGTGAAACTTTTGATCGGGTGTCTGACTCTGGGGTTTTGGGTAAGGTTGTGGTGCCCCCAGGGTCTTCAGTGTGTGTCCCTGCTGGGTCCCTTAAGTTAGTGAAAGCAGCGTGCCGACAAGGGCTGGCTCCTATGGTTTCTTCTACTTTGCTGGACCCTGTGGACATCAATTGCCTTCAGGTCTGCTTGTTCCTAGTGCATTGCTCCCTATGGGTGATGGCAACGTTTGTGTCCCGGTAGTCAATGTAGGTCTGCAAGATGTTTGGTTGGCACCTAAAATGGTGTTAGGAGATCTGCATGTGGCTGAAGTTCAGGTGACTAGTCAACCTATTGGGTTCCAGGAGCAAGAGGATTATTGTGGTCAGGTAGCATATATACATGCTATTGAGTCAATGCCTCAGGTTGTACAAGGCTTGGCTGAAGTGACAGCCTAATCTGACCCTGACGCAAGAGAGGGAGGCTAGAGCCTTGTTGGAGTGGTACCATGACGTTTTCAGTTCTGGAGAAGGAGATATAGGTTGTACTAATTTGATTGAACATGAGATTCCAGTGGTGGATGATGTGCCAGTGTGGTAGCATTATCGGCGCCTCTCCCCATCACAGTACGACCTGGTGAAGGCTCATATTCAGGGGTTGTTAGAGCATAGGGTAGTGTATGCTAGTTGTAGCCCATATTCATCTCCAATTGTGGTTGTCCAGAAGAAGGATGGTACTATACGCCTTTGTGTGGATTATCGCCAATTGAACGCTAAAACAAGAAGGGATGCATATGCGTTGCCTCGGATTAAAGAGTCCCTAGATGCTCTTTCTGGAGACAAATGGTTTTCAACACTAGATCTTCCCAGTGGGTATAATCAGGTGCCGGTTGCTGAGCGAGATAAAGCCAAAACCGCATTTTGCACGCCGTTTGGACTTTTGAGTTTAATCGAATGCCATTTGGTTTGTGCAATGCACCTGGGACGTTTCAGCGTTTCATGGAAAGGATTTTTGGTGATCAAAGCTTTCAGTCTTTAGTACTATATTTACATGATGTGGTGGTTTTTTCCACATTGTTTCATGAGCACCTTCAGCGGTTGGTGCTGGTCCTGAAGCGACTCCAGCAACAGGGGCTGAAACAGAAGTTTAGTAAGTGCCAGTTTTTTCAACCCGAAGTTAAGTATCTTTGACATGTCATTTCTGCAGCTGGTGTGACGACAGACCCGGAGAAGATCCGTGCGTTGAAGGAGTAGCGGACTCCAACAACGGTTGTTCAGCTGCCATCATTTTTAGATTTTGCATCATACTATCACCGTTTGCGAGGTATGTGGCCCCTTTACAGTACATAAACTGGGGGCAAAGCTGCAGCCGGGGCGGAGGAAAACACAAGTTCAACCCAATGGTTCTTTTCAGGATCATTGGGATGAGAGTTATGAACAGGCTTTACAGACATTGAAGGGCAGGTTAGTTAGTGCTCCGTTAGGATATACTGACTATTTGAAGCCTTTTGTGTTGGAGGTTCATGCTAGTAATTTGGGATTAGGTGCAGTGTTCTCTCAGGATCAAGAGGGGCAACGACGTCTAATTGCATACACTAGTCGAGGTTTGAGACCGACAGCAGAATATGTTAAATTATAGTGCAATGAAATTGGAGTTGCTTGCCTTGAAGTGGGCTGTTACAGAAAAATTCCGTGAATACCTTTTGGGTACTTCATTCATGGTATTTACGGACAATAATCCCCTTTGTTATCTGCAGACTGCGAGCTTGGGGCGGTAAAACATCGTTGGGCCTCACAGCTGGCCCTGTTCGATTTCAAGATCAGTGGTAGATGCTGTCTTGAATCGGGATAAGGCTGATTTGAGGAAATTGCAATCTATAGATCCTGTGATTAGTGCTTTTATGCGCTACTGGCAGAGGGGCTTTGCCCCCACAGGAAAGGAGAGGATCCAGGAATCCCCCACTGTTATAGAATTAGTTAGGCAATGGGCTCGAATCATGGAGAACGAGGGGGTGTTGTATCAAGCCGTCCAGGTGCCGGGTGGGGGTGAGCAGGTTTTGCAATTGCTAGTGCCCCAGGCTTTACAAACAGCAATATTGACTAGACTCCATGATAATCATGGGCTCCAAGGCGTGGAACGTACCACTAGCCTGGTTTGACAATGTGGCTATTGGCCATTTATGCATCGAGATATTGAACAGTGGTGTCAGAATTGTGCTCGGTGTGTAGCAGCCAATGTGGTTCAACCTAAGGTAAGGACATTTATGGGCAGCCTGATGGCTTCAAAACCGTTGTTGGTCCTAGCTTTGGATTTTACAACATTAGAGCAGGCCAGTGATGGGTCTGAAAACCTATTGGTGATTACAGATGTCTTTTTTAAGTTTACACAAGCATACCCCACACCGGACCAGAAAGCAAGTACTATGGTACGAGTGCTGACGGAGAAGTGGTTTTATACATTTGGGGTTCCAAGGCGCATTCATACTGATGTATGGGGTTGAAAAGTCTCGCACTAGCCCATATCACCCTACAGGAAATGGGCAGTGCGAAAGATTTAATAGGACCTTACACAATCTCTTGCGTACCCTGTCTCCTGAAAAGAAGAGATGGTGGCCTGTGCACTTACCTCAGGTATTGTTTGCGTACAATACCACTGTTCATCACTCGATAGGTCACTCACTATATGAATTGATGTTTGGTCAGAAACCCCAGCTACCTATTGATGCTCTCTTAGGGATGGAGCAGGAAGAGGCAGTTGGGGTTGAGGCTGGTGATTGGATTACCGCGCATCAGAAACATCTGGCCTCAGTCTATAAGGATGCACGAGGGCAGTTGGAGGCGGTGGTGGCGTATCGGGGTCAAAAAGGAACAGGGCATGGGAGAGGTCTGCCGGTCTGCTTGTGTTACAGCAGGGTATCATTCTAATCCGTTTAACCTGCCTCGATCAGTAGTGTAGTACCTGGTTGGTATGGATGGGATTTGGTCTCCTAACCACTCAGCTGGTGGTACTTTCCAAGGAGTGGGAAAGATAGGTCACTAGGATGGTGACCTTTGAGTGCCGGGGTGGATGTAACGAGTGGGACTTTAGAACCCAGGAGTGAGTGAGAAGAGTATACACTATATGATGGTAATTCTGGTCGTTCAAAGGCGTTTCAATTCAGCTGCAAGCAGGGGCAGTCGGAAGGAGTGAAGCTGCGGCAGGTTTGAATCGTTTGGTACTGTGTTGGTTACTGTGGAATTATTGTGATCTTATGTGTGGTGTGCATTGTGATTTTTTTGGTCTGTGTGGATCCGGGGTTAGTGTGCGGCTGGTGTGTGTGAATGACACTGAGTTAATTCTGGTAGGTAATCTTGCTTGTGGTGTCATTTGGATGAAGGTGTGCAGAAGGGAAGCGGGACGTGACAATGGTGTAATTGTTTAGTGTACTAGAAAAGCTATTGCTATTCTCCCTATCTAGGTGTCGTTGCTGTACGGTGAAGGCCAGCATGAGCATTGCGTGCCTGAGTGGATCTCCAGTAGAGTTGAGGACTACATTGGGCTTGGCTTCTGCGACGGAGCTCTTTCCAGCGAGGCCTGCTTCGGATGCATCTCACGATCTTTTGGTTGATTTCCTTACAGTACAACCACTGTTTTTCCCAGGTTTATGATAAGGCTATGTGTTACATTGTTTACTTTTCCGTGCCTGTGAATCACTGCTTCGGCAAAAGGTTTTGAAAGTGGGTGCACAGTAATATCTGCCCATTGGGGGAGGGGGGGATCCTATCCTCAGTACTTTGCATGTTTGTGCTATTGTAACATTTCAGGATCAGGAGTGCTTTTCCGTGCGATATTGCATGAGTGTGATTTCTGTGTTGATTATAAGGGGGTTTGGGAGTAGATTAACCCAGGTTTGAAGGATACCACCCCGGAAGTCGTAAGGTGGATCTCTCTGCCGCTAAGATTAATTTTATGGCACGGAGAGTGTTTTGTAATGTGACAATCTCAGTATATGTGAGGATATGGATCCAGTTTTAATGGTTTTTGTGACAATCCTGTAAATAAAGTATTGTGTCCATTGCTTTTGCACCTCCAGCGGTTCATTTATTTTAAACACTTCCAGTGCAGGGTGATCCCTTATGGAGGGGGCTAGTTAAGGGGCACTAATTTCCTGCTCAATCAAGAGTAGGTGGCGTAGTTGGAAGTGATAAACGGGGGGTAGTGATCCCTGCAGGTGGAGAGGGCCACATATTAATGAGTTTTTACAATTACCCCCCCACCCCCACCCCCACCCCCACACTGTGCAGACAGTGAGGCCAGCTCTCCCGTCATAAAACCCAGAGCACAAATGTGGTTTAGTTCTGATGTACAGCCAAGGGAACAGAGTGGGAACAGTTTTAACCATTTTATGCTAATTTAGGTGCTGTTGATTGCAAATCCAGAGCCACCTTCCTGACTGAGTCTGTAAAGGATGTCTTAGTACAAGTGATTCACTCAGCCTGAGTGACAGCCTGCGATCAACAGCACTCCTCTTTCTGACTAGCAGATGTGCCCTTAACTTTGGAACAATCTGAATGACAAATTCCACCCCTGCTGAGGAAATAGTACATCCCATGGGGAGATTTTAAATTCTTCAAAGGTCAACATTCCCACCTCTGAGCTGTGAAAACCTTTCTAACATGGACTGGTGTCTAAAAAGTGCAATGGTGTCAATCTTGTTATGATAGCAATACAGAAAAACCAAACTTTGGTCATTTATAGTTTAATTAGAGTAATTTGTGCCAGCTGAAATTAGCAAGTGGGATACACAAAAACAAGGGAAACTTGCAGTGCATTTTAAGTATACCAAGAAAATTTAATTCAACTGCTGGAAATGTAGGCCCCACATTCAATGCATAAAAAACTCACAGCCCCAAGAGAGACTCCCAAACATAACAACAGACTGTGATAGCTCTGTGAGAGATGGTCTGTGGATCAGTACACTCAGCAGTTTTAACAAGCTGTATCAATGTTATTCAGTTCAGCACATTAATTACACAGAGCATAATTCAAATGCCTAAAATAAATTAGGAAAGAATGATGTCATACAGGCAGGGGTTTATATTCATGGGGGAGGAAAGTCTTATAAAAACTAGATAAGCATCTGACAAACACATGTATGACTCCCACCCCTCACCCCCCAAAAATGCAGGCTTCGTAGCACGCAAATGAGAAGAGGACAGTTTTTTCTCCACAGTTTCCATGCCAGTCAGTCTTGTGAATATTTGCTAGACCACAGATATTACACAATATCAACAAAGCCATCTGCCTGTGGAAACAGTAACAAGCTAACGCTTCATCCCCAGTGTAGCTTTAATATATAATGTTGCTTTCTATGAGTTTAGTAAGTAAGAAATGAGGCACATAGCACATCAACAAGCCTGATGGTAAAACTTCCTTCTCTACTGGTCAGTCTAGCAAACCATCAGCATTTCCTCTGTGCTAAAATTACATACAAAGAAGAATGAAATTCTCAATACTATCATCAGCTGTCCACATCCACTGGAAACACACATTTCAGCCTCCACTGAATCTCATCACAGTAATATTGATCAAATTGGGGGCGCTTTCAGTCATTTTCTCCTAAAAATGCCTCCCAGTCACTTTTGGGACTGCTGTAATAAATGACTGCAGTAAAACAGGACTTTATGGTGCTGCTAAGCAACTAGTCCAGGAAGAGCTTTAACCCCAGCTCACCCACAAACACAGCTAGAATGTTCTGTGAATGTTCTCGCAGTGCTCAACATCATGGAAGCACTGTAGCCTTCGGGTGACAATGTATGCAAAAGCTGCATGAGAGACAGCCTGGCCATTTTATGGCGGGTGTGTTCACCACAGATGTTTGAGAGGGGGTGATTACCACAGAGCTTCCACGGGATGAGGAGGAGGAGGAGGAGGAGAAGAGCTGCTAGCATTCCTATTTAAAGCTGTAACCCCCCCCCCCCACACACACACACACACACACGCATACCCCCCCACTCAGTTTGGGCTGGGTCTGCTGCAAACAGGCAGGGGATCATACAGTGCCTGCATGGTGGAGCGATCGGCTGTTCATCCTCCTCTTCTTGCTCTCTCTTCACACGAGGAAAGCACATGTCTTTCTCACAGACATGCTGATATCTCCGCACTCCAGGACTCTGCTGTTTCTCACTGTTTCCATCACTCAGGTTTTGTTTTCGAGGGGCCAGGAAGGGAACAGTGGTGAGTAAGTGCCTCTTGTTGTTATGTGGTGATTTACATATATGAGATCCCAGTATGTCTGAGGAAAAACACTGGCCATGTAAAACATCGATTAGTCTTTTGACTGGAATGGGATTATGCTCTTCAGGAACAAATTGTGGCTTGATACTTCATTATAATGTTATCCTCCTTAATATTTTTGCAGCTATTATTGATGATTTATCATGTTCAGGTTTTATATTTATTGGTTAAACATGAGAGCAGGGGCTGTGTGAAGTCCTCTTAAATGCCCAACTGGAGGGCCACTATCACCTCTTGGTACAAGTAACATCTTTACCTCTGCTTTGTGATTTCTTGTTCACTTGTTTTATGTTTTTGATCCAAAACTGCATGAGAGCAGGGGGCAGATTCTGGGCTTGTGCTAAGCGGGTGTCTCTCAAATGGTTGCCTATTCACTCTCTTGTGATACCATTGGGCTCATTACTTGTCAACCAAAGACATTCTCCAGAAGCCCCTGCTGCCTCCCTCCCATCGGGCTTCCCATCCAGTCCCTCTCAGGCTCGTGGAGGAACAGCATGCTATTTAATGTGGCACAGATGGGCGCCACACAGACAAAAACTGTAACAAAGCAAAGATTCGTCTGGAATATACTGAAAATGGCAGACAGGCATGAGGACCCTGCCCCGTGGCTGCCTCTCTGTGTTTTACACCCACCGCCCTTGTTGTTACATTATATTTTCCACACTGCCCCATGACATCATGGAAAGTACAGAGCATTACTCTTATAACCTGCTTTCTGTAAGCGCTGAATGCACGGCCTGCATGGAACTGCAGTGAAGACCTGTCAGGAGTTGCAGTGAAGCCCTGTCTGGAACCACAGTGAAGCAGGCTGATTAATCTATGCCTCCTCTCTGGCATCTCCAACTCCATACAGGCATTCAGACACTCAGCCCCTATGGGAGTTCCCCCTGGTTGGGCCCCTTTGACCAATTTAAAGATGACGAGACCAACTGAAGCACAACAATGCAATGCAAACAATGCAAAGCACTTTAAAGTAGACCCATAACTGTAGCTTAATTTTTGTTAAAAATAAAAATGAAAGACATTCCCTATAAATTTGTCTAAGAGCGAAACAGCATTTAGAACAATCAGGTATAATGATTCTGATTGGTTATGCTGTACAGCCAGTGTACTAAACATTGCAGGGTGGAATCTGAGGGCTCTAAGAGGTCTAACCATGTGTTGACTGCGCAGTCTTCTAAAATGATGCAATTGTGTGCATTTCACCATCTGAATGCTAACATGACATTTTCTCTCTTAAGAGGGCAGGCTGTTATTTCAGTAAATAGCATTTTATAACTTGGAACATTTCTTGGGCTATAAGACGCCACTGAGGTTTGGTGTCACCTCTCTCCAGCTGCTGACTAGCTCAGAGCCCTGCCCAGCATCTGTTAGACCCACCCAGGGATCCAGCATAGAAATTAGGTCCATCCGTGTTTGCAAGTACTGCTCGCAGCCAGCTGCTTTGACCACCATTATACCTAAATCGAGCAAAGGTCATTTCCACAACAATCTTCTAAAAATCAGTTTGGCCCTTGGAGAGGACAGCCGCAGAACACACCCCTCTATTTCAGGCTCAATTACAGAGGCCCCTTGCACAGAGGTCAAAGGCTCTTGAGGATAAAGGCTGGGGTTTGATCATGGCTCTTTGTGGTCAGAATGCAGCTGGACTCCAGCCCCCCCAGAAACAAAGCAACAGCTATGTGGGGGAAGTGCTGTATAAGGAGGTCTCAGTAGCCCAAAAAAAGCTAGGGAGCAGGCAGCTGCAAAGGCAGACAGCCAGCCTGCGACCAGTCAGAGCAGTTGATGTGCAAATGTGCCATGGATCATATCCAATGGGCCGATGGTGTTCAGTGAGCAGTCATGAGGGACAGAATTCTGTGGACAATAGTGATTGGTGAATTTGGGGTTTCACCAGGTAGCTACCTCACATATCCATGGTTGGGGATTTGAGTCCCACGTTATATGTATGTGGAGTTTGCATGTTTTCACCATATCACGTGGGTTTCCACGGAGTACAACATTTTCTTCCAGCAATCCAAAGACACAGAGGTAACTCATGCCTCAGAATTACCCAAAGTGTGCATTCATGTACACTTGTGCATGTGTCCACACAGCCCGGCATCCAGTGCAGAGTGTCCCACAGTCTTGTACCTGTGCTGCCAGGGACTGGATCATATGTCCGTTGTTAAAAGCAATAGCACTTATGAACATTTTTCTGTTACTTACAGCATTTTTTCATAAAAACTGTGAAGGGTACTGAGAGTTATTTATACAATATGTACACAAAGGTCTGGAAGCCAAGGAGGTGTCTGTAGGGGAAAACATATGGTCATAGTCTCTGAGGCTGGAACAGGCAAAGATCATGTGACAGCAGCTTAGCGTGGCCATGGGGTCCAAAGATCACAGCCTATCAGCTTCATACTTTCAGCATCTGGTTTAGCCTTTTTAAATCACTTCAGTCGGCTGTGAATTTGCTCTAGTTGACTGTGAATCTGCTTAATTCTGATGCGAATCTGCTTCAGTCAGCTGTGAATCTGCTTTAGTTGGCTCTGAGTCTGCTTTAGTCGACTGTGAATCAGCTTCAGCCAATTGTGAATCTGCTTCAGTCAGCTGTAAATAGGCTTAATTGTGAGGTGAATCTGCTTCAGTCAAATGTCAGTCTGCTTGATTCTGATGTTGATCTGCTCCAGTCAGCTGTGAATCTGCTTTAGCTGGCTGTGAATCTCCTTCAGTCGTCTGTGAATCTGCTTTAGTCAGTTGTGAATCTGCTTCAGTCGTCTATGAATCTG